TTTCTCTGCTCTCCCTGACATAAGACATGCCTCCTGAAGCTTACAGAACCTCTCACCATTTGTCTGGTTGCAAACTACACCAACCGTTTTTCCCCCCCCTTGGAAACTAACACAAAAAAGAAAGCTGCTGGGTGAGCAGAATGGCAATACTGCTGAGATATAGGCACTATTTCCTGTGCTTTGCCAGCTGCCTGTGAGTAGGCACTTGTCACTTCTTGCCCTCTAAGTAACTAGCAAGTCTTTCTAGGACAGGGACTTTACTTTTTGTGCTGCAAACATGCAGTGCTTATGACTAAGACTCTCAATTTGCAGCAACGGCAATGGTGTGATTGAACCCATACACCACCTCCCAAATCCTTCAGAAGCTTGTGTATGTATTTAAGAACATCCAAAACTGTTTTGTGCAATGCTTCTCTCCTATACTGCAGTATCTTATGTGAAAAATATTATCAAGGACACTTGCCTCCTTAAATAGTGTAATCTTCGGAGTTAAAATCAAGCGCTATACATATATATCATACACTGTATTGGTCCAGACATGGGACTTTGGCTGTCAAAGAAATAAAGACAACAAATCTTTGTTCACTTAAGGCAATCACTCTAACCTATTCATCCAGAAACCTAGTTAATGTTATTATTTGCAAAAAGTGTCACAACACTTCTGAAACAGTGAAAATTTTCCTCAAAGTAATGGTGGGAAACTATGGAGGAAAGCAAGATGAAGCACAGAGGTCATTTCAGAAGAGGATGACTTCCAGCAAATCAAAATACACTCATCTGATTTATGAAATAAGAACACAAGCACAAGAAATTAATGCAAAATTAAAGCTTTACAGAAGTGGGAAATTTATCCTCAGGGCTACCAGTAAAAACTTCAGTTGCAATTTACACCAGGTGTGGCCTTCAATATTAACCAGCTGCTGTGGATCAGCCATGAGTTTGATGTTTCTCCATCAGAGGACAGTGATGAAGAACAAATGGGGAATGAAAGAAGTTAACACCACAAAACAAAACCTACTAAGAAGTAATTGCCTAAATACAGATATAAAGATATATTTCCCCACTCAGTTATAGCACAGGACTCAGCCTAAACCCGAAGTTCCTTTCCTCGTCACTGCTGAGATTTCAGCTGTTCTTGCCGTTTAACAAGCTGAACAAAAAGCAAGCGATGTAGAATCGGATGAATGGTATAGGCAACCTTGCATAGAAAAGGAAAATGAAACGTCAGAAACAAACTTCAAGTTGCTGCCAGAGGGGCTGCCGGTGCCGGGGCTGCCACATCACCATCCTCTACCAGTCACGCTGGGTCACAGCAAGGATGGGGAGTATTTTCAGAAAAACAGGCCCAACTCGAAGCAGTAAAGAACTGAGAAGACAAACAAATGCAAGGCACTCAGCAGAGACACTGCACTAGAAGTTCAGTGGCAAAATTCGAGAGAACTCAAAATTAGAGCAAAAATCCCAAGCTGTCAGTATGCAGCAACAAGGCTCAGAGAAGAGGGAAGGGTCAAGCTGAGCTAAAAGGCTATCTCAAACTTAATGAGGGCCAGCAATTCACTTGGATACCTGAAAGTGAAGCAGGGGATGCCTGCAATTAGTGAGAGTTCACAAGAGGACTCAATGGTTAAGCTTTGGTTATATTTCTTTTTTAAACCAGACTGCCTGCATCGTTGCGAGCCGACACTACTCAGAAGGCACAGCACGTTGCAATTCCAGCTGCAGAGCAGGCAGAGAAACAGGCGACGCGGACCAGATAGAGAAAGTAAGGTTTAAAAATAAATTCAAAAAGAACATTTTTAAGGATTTTCTTCTTTTTTTTTGCCTTGGCCGTGGCACACGGTCACACAAACAGTGGGATCTACACAGCAGATTAATTTTTCGCTGCTGGCTGTCCTAACTAACCCTCCCTTGCACCAGCTCTGGTGTTTTTGTGACTCTGAGCTGAACTGCTTCTGTGTTAAGTCAGCAGAAAACTAAGCCAACAAAAAGTGCAATAGGTTTTTGCCAGGATGTCGTGCAAAACAATTGAGCACAGGCTGAGAAAGGAGACAGGCTTAGTTGTTCTGGCAGTGCAGACTCAGTCTGATTAGCCAGTGCATCCACAGTACCTTTACTGGCACTTTTAAAGTTCCAAATGAGGCTATAATATTAAAAATACCAATTTCAGCAAAATCCCCATCTTATATGGCATTATCCCATTCTCTTCCTGTTGCACATATAACTGTTTGCTCAACGACTCTCTGAGGAGAAGGAAGGGGATTTTTTTATTTCAGTTGTTTTCAATGAAGACCGACTCTTGAGTTTAGCATGTGGCTCTTTAAACAGGTGTGCTGGCAACCAAGGGGTTGCAAAGGACTGGAAACAAGCAGCTGGAGGAAGAAGGCTGCTTAAGCCAGGACATAAAAAAAAAATAAAATCTGTTTTTGTGAAACTGTGGTGCAAGTCCAGGCCATGCAATTCTCCTTAGTACTGTCTATACTTAGTAGGAGATTCTGCTCTAAGATAACTATGGCTTAAGTAAAAAATAAAATAATAAATATATATAAACAAAATAATAAATGTACAAAATAAATACATAAATATTATTATTATATAATCATTCAGTCTCACAGTGAGTGAGCTAGCATGTGTACATCAAGTTATTTTTTTCTACTACACAGGAAATTAATTTAATTGCACACTCTGTCACAGATTCCTTATGTTCCTGCTTTGGATGCAGCTGCACAAAGCTGAGAGCCAATGTCACAGCTCGTGGTCCCAAAAATGCCTCTCCCAGATATGCAGTTCTGCCATTACCTTACGCTATTTCCAGCACCTCCTGGACTCCTTATGCAACTAATCTACACAGCAAAACATGAACTCCAGTCCCTCATACAGGAATCTAATGCGTGCCAGATCCAGTGTGAGGAAAGGATGAACTACATGACAACAGTGGCAAGAGAGAAAGGTGCAGCAGTGAAAATTTGTACGTTTAGTAAGTGTGAGTAACTAAACTTGTTCAGCTAGTTACAGAACTGCAGCACAGCTGTCCTGCACTCCTACTGTCTGAATTGACTACAGGATCAGCTTTCCCCACGGAGTTTCAGAGGCCGTAGGGGGCTCAGGCACCCTGCTGAGCAGAACGCAGTGGAGGTACCCACTGACTGCTTTGCTGTGCAGCTTCACAAAGCACTGGGCTCTCTGCCTGCATGGACGTGACCTCCATGTGGACTGATGCCCTCTTTGTAGCTGCCATTTTAGATTTCAGTTACCTGGGGTAGGATAGGACAGCATTTCATAAATCAGCAAGTGTTACATATAGCCTCTGCCCATGTGCTCTGACTAGTTAACTGGAAACAATCTATTTCTTTTAAAACCATAAAGCTTAATTACAACCATTAGAACAACCATTTCCACTTGTGACTGCACAGTTTATTTAAGTAGGCTACTCTAGGAACTATTGCTTTGAATAATCTAACAAGGATCTAAAAACCATGCTGAAGTTCTTTGCTCAGCAGAGCACAGGGAGTCTCATTTTGAAGTCAGTTTCATGGGGATTTGTGTTCTTTTAGAATAAAATCTGAACAAGAGCCTTCAGCTGGCAAGACACAAAGGTTTTCCTCTATTGCAGCTACACTGCTTTGTCTCCAAACAGAAACTGGGGCCAAAGATGAACAAAGCAAAAGAGTGTTAAAATCAAACAGGGGGATAAGACCAAAAAAAAAAAAAGAAGAAAAAGCATGAAATGCAAAGATATGCTCTCAGCGCCTGAAGGAATCAGTGAATGGATGGGAAACTAAATCCAAGGTGATACTTTTCAGGCTACAAAACCTGGATCAAGACTCAAGACTACTGCCAACATACATTCATTCAGATGTTACAAAATAGACCTCCCACTTGAAAAGATTGCTCACTGCAGAAACAAAGTCCATGAAACATCCATCCTATGAAAAATATCAGCTACCCTAAATGCTTTTGCTCCTTATTTCATAAACCCATATAATGACAAACGCGGCTTAATGAAATAGGGATTCTATTATCATTAAATAAATGTATTCTTAATGCAAAATGTTCTTACTCTGAATGGATGTTTGACTATTAGAGGACAACAAATACACCCTTTACCCATACAACAGTAACACTGGAGAGAACAACCCTTTTCCTTGACATGATCATGCATTTTAAAAAGGAAACACAAACACACAACACACGCCCAGACTACCTTGAAAACCTCATGTTTCACCACCTTAATTGTCATACTTGATTTTCTTACACAAGATAGCATTTCCCTAGCTACTCCTAAGAAGTGAGAGGGAATACTGAATCAGACTTCTCCCAAGAATGTCCTTGCTAACAAAAAATTACATGTAAATGTCCAATCTTTGCAAATTACACTGAATCAGAAGGGCAGAGGTTAGCAGAACTGACTAATGTTGTTAATAATATCTTAAGAAGTGTCTAAAAATAATTTTGCTGCTCTATTAAAAAAAAAAAGAAGGATGAAGAGCATTTCTTGTAGACACAGAATGCTTAGGGAGATCAGAAACTTACTTTTATAAAGATGAATAAGGCAAAATTCTTTAAAAAGAAGAAAGCCCTCAAAATAATGGAATACACATAAATAGGATTTCTATCTGTTCAATCGTTTTGTTGTTATTCAAAGAATATCAAAGTGACAGATTTCTTCAGCTTCTTTTTCAAAGTCAGTATGATCTAAAACAGGTTTCAATTCTTTATTTTTTCTTGGTATTAATATTTACTTTTTAAGATTTCTGTAAGAAGATATCCCTTTATCTTCTTCTTTGCTAGGAAAAAACTTTGTATAATGAACCTTTCTATTATCTATCTGTAAATATGCAGGTAGATTCATATGGTAACAAAAAGTATACAGATTTTATAACAATGCATAAAATCTAGCACAATATGAAGTAGCATTCTCACCTGTTATTGTTATTTTATCAGTTCACTTACATCGCTGCCAACTTACCAAGAAACCATAATATAATAAACAAAATACTTACCTACAAAGCCTTTCTCTCCAACTAATTTAAGAGCAATTTTGTCTGCTAAAACAGAGGAATTTCCATGTGCAATGTTAGCAAAAGGTCCAGCGTGAACAAATACTGGTGTTCCCTGAATGATAAAAAACATGTACCATTAATTTAATGGATAAGTAAGAAGACAAGCTCAGTACTCTTGCAGACTAATCAAGATTATATATGAATCAAAAGCACATGCAACATGTAAGCACTGTCAGATAATTCAGGGGGGGTTAAGTACATCTCAGGTGCTTGAAATCACATTCACTGACAGGCCTGTGGCAGAATCTGTTTCATTCATAGAAGAATGACAGTTGTAGGTAACTCAACACAACTTCTTGCTCAATTTTGTACTGAGGTTTCGTATGTCCACTGCCCCAATGCAGTGGTGTGCTATTCTACAATCAGCACTAAACACATGGCTGCAGAGAGCCCAGCTCCCGCCCTACCCCATTCCCTATCTGCTCCTGTTTTCCTCGTTGACTGTAATTGCCTCTCTTGTGCAGGTAAAGCAGCCAGCAGAAGCAACAAGGGGCCAGAGTCACTGGGTAAGGAGCTGAGGAGGGAGAAGGGAAGGAATGTGACTGGAGTGCAGTGGGGATACTGGATACTGGGATACTGGATACTGGGAAAGTGTTCACTGCTGCTGGCCAAGTGCCTGGGAGCCCCGAGTGCAAAGCCAAATTCCCCTAGACACAGTATAAATATATGAAGAAAGGGGATTCTGTAGCAGGGAACAACCTGAGACAGCAAAAGGATAGGCGAAGAGTTAACAAAGTAATGGCATAGGGAAATCTGTCAGCAAGCAAATCTCAGCTGCCTTATTACTTTTTGTGGCAGGCATGACAAGGAAAGAAGAAACTAGTAAATTAGCATCTACAGAAAGGGATATTATCTTCCTGGGTTTTATCTGCTAATGACCACATTCTGCAATATCAATTGCGATTTTACATATTTATGTAAAACATTTAACTCAAACTATGTATACTTTCAAAGCTTCTTACAGTATCTAGGCATCAATCTAATGAAAGTGCTATGAAAATAAAAGATTACCCCTATCACAAAGAGCTTATAACTTAGACAAAACAAAATGTAAACCACTTCCACCAAACTAAGTTTTAAGTTTCACTTCCTTAAGTTTTACTTTTACTTTAACCCAGTATTTACCTTTCTGGCATTCAAATAAATAAGAGTGCAGTTTTCAGCTACAAGATTGAAACCCATTGGATTTACTCTGATTTGTGCTTTATTACTACTATGTTTAATTTCATTTTTCCAAGTTCTTAATTTCTTGTGGCAAGCAACTACAGGGCTGCTCTCATTAAAGCCCAGCATGCACATGGGCAGCTGCGATGCATGGAAGCATAAACACAGATGATGAGAGGGCAGCCTAGCCCATACTGTGGCAGCTGTGGAGAGAAGGGACCAGAAGAGTTTCCCAGAGCATTCTCTATGCAAGCGTGCTTCCAAGAGTCCATCCGCACAACACAGATGGGAAGGAAATTTGGCTTGTGTGGTCCAATATTCAGAATATCAATAGCCCAGAAGAAAAGGAGGAGTTACTTGAATGTGGTTTTTTTTACAAGAGCAATCTTGGGAAAAAAAATACAGTCTAGGTACTGTAGGGAGTGAGTTCCAGCAGGATCTCGGGAGCCTCAGACACACTCTGGAACAGGGACAACAACGTTTTCTCAGGCCAACTTTGGTAACTCTGTGTCAGCGCATCCATCCTGCTCAGCAGAGTGCCACTTATTTTTGTTGCACTCTTAATAAACTATATGGAGAAACAACAAATGGCATAGGGATGCATTCTGCTGACTGTTTTCAGTACAGGAAATTCTATTACCCAGGTTTTAGTAAAAGAAAATAAACCCTGAGTGTCAATAAGTATCTGAACCTATCTGGCTGCTTTAGAAGGATGTTTATAATACTTATTACTATTCTCTGCTCATCTTCACTGTGAGGGGCACTTTAAACGTAACATGAGTAGATCATCCGAGAGCAGCCGGCCTGTAACTACAAAGAGTTATCCCATAGAGCAGCTGCTCTGTTACACATGGTATAAATAAATGCTAAATGTTAAGGAATCAGATCACAAGGGAACAAATCTGTCAAGACAAACATGGATAAACACTACAAAATCATTTCAAAGTCATACCAATTCTACAGCATTGTATATCAGTTCTACCATAAAACTATGTTTATTGTAGGTGGAGCGCTCCATGTTTCCCAGTTTGATTTTACTGTCATTCCTACATATTCTACATATCATTCCTACTGTCAATCACTAAATCTTTGAGACAGCATTTCTGGTGTCAGTGTAGCAACTTCGCAACTGAAACCAACTCACCAAAAAACCTCTTAAAAAATCAGCAAACTGAAGCGCACATGTCAGTTCACATGCGAAAAAAATCACTGACAAAGGTGCCAGTTCAGCTCCACGCAGGACTGGCATTCAGTCATTTTTGGTTTATGAACTTCTAAACCTCCTCTCCAGCGCACACAGATGCCCATACAAAGCTAATGTAAATCTACGAAGCAGGTTGTTGTTCTCCCCTTTCATAAGCACTTAGAAGCAACTCCTCAGACCTCCACAGCTTAACACATTACCCATCTACAGGCTCTTCGCCAGATCAGAGTGCAGCTATCTCTGCAACGGCCGCTTCCAGCCACTGCTACCCACAGACTCTGTCACTTAGAAATTATGCCAAATTAACTGTCAGTATCAGCTGGAAGTTATCCAGATCTCCTGCTCCTCCTCCTCAGGCAGTCTTTTTGCCATTCCCCAATATTAAAGTGATGTGGAAGACCTGCTCTGGTGAACAGCTTCATCCCTACTTGCAAGACAGGTCTATGGCACAGTCTGAGCTGCATTTGTGTTCTCTGCAATCACATTTTTTTGTTTTTCCACCCCCTGTGAGCTACAGGATCATTTCTGATGTCACTGTTGTCAAGTCACAGTGCTGTTGCTAAAGGTCTTTACACTTGTATTGAGAAATTGTTCTCCCTGAAGTGATTAGGATTATGTTGCCCATATAATAAGAGGTCTCTCTTCTTTTGGATGCTACTTATTACGATTATTTCAAGCATAATTTAGGTGTAAATTCTGCCAATTTCTGGTTTGCAAGAAGAAAGATTCGCAGTTGACATATACTTCATAAATACGTAATTTCCTATAGCAGAAGAGATGTTATTATATCCACCACCTTAGGGCACAGTAAGATTAGCTTGTCTTAAAATCTTGAGGGATCTAAACTCGCAGGTGTAGATCACTACATTAAGTGTGCAGTACAAAATAACATTCTTGTTCCCCTCCCCTTCTTTTCTTTGGAAGAACTGAAGCTATTGAAAATAGCACCTCTCAAAGCTATTAACATTAAGGTACTTCTTCAGAAAATGGGATATGACACAAGCTTGAGGCTCAAGAACAGCAACAACAGCATGGCCAGTAACAGAATAGGCCATTGCATCTCTACCCAAGAGCAATGACTCAGTCTAAGAGGCACACATCTGGCAAAGCACAGCACGATCTTGGAACCGATTTAGATAAGCTGGAGATTTCTGTTCTTGGATAGGTGACTTGTATTAGTCTGTAAGCCAACAGGTATTCAAAGGGTGGTAAAAGTTCGAGACTCAAATGGCAAGAGTGGAGCATGAAGCAATCTTCTGAGCTGCTTTTGTTTGCTGTTTCAAATATAACTTTCTAAGAAAAATTTTTGGGAAAAATATCCTTGGGTACTGTAGTCAGGGTCCTTCTAACACACAATACCATTGGATGATTGTTGGCAGAGGTTTCAGCCATAGCATAGATTAGACTATAAAAGAATACCACATAAAAGGCAGGAATTTTATCGCAGAGAAAGATGAATATAAATAAATCCAGTGAGGTAAAAAAAAACCACAGCACATAAGTCCCAGAACCAAATGTCTATCAATCAATAGAAATTTCTGACATTTATAATGGTCTTTCAGAACACTACAACAAAGACACATTATTTTCTAATAGATATGCAAAATTATTTTCTAATAATTATTTTCTAATAGATATGCAAAAGTGCAAATAGAGTGATGCAGACTAAATACTCAGAATCAAAGCTACCTTGTCATTGATGTTTAACACACAACGTTATCCAAGTGGTGATTTAACACACAGTTCTGGCCATGACATTCTTGATCTTATATGACCTCCAGTTTCTGCTATTAAATTCTGACACACATATATATTCTTCATATAGCCTCATAAAAAAATAGATGTTCTTTGTAGGAGAGAATAATTAAGACAGCTACAGTAAAATAACATAAATGTAAATTCTATTTTACTACTATTCCCTGAGAGTAGGAGGTTGCCCCATCCAAGCACAAAAGATAAAAGGTAGTTATTACTTTGACATGCTGTAGAAAATGAGGCATTTTTACCAACCAGGGATTGCACTGGTATCTTTCTGCATTCTTCAACTTTTCACCATACCATGAGTTTTTGCTAAGTATCCCAGCTATGGAATTTTGATGGTCAAACTTCCAATAATATATATTAATTTTTCCTCAAATGCATTAATTTCCAAAACTACTTCATTATTTCCTCATTTTTCTTCCTCTCTCTCTCCATCAATATTGCTCATCATTTAGCTTCCTACTGAGAAGGCAATAGTAGGCTGCCCAGATACAAAGTTAGGTTGTGCCAATTCTGCGTTCTTTGAGCTGTTGGAAGAAAGTTCACTAGGCTAAGTGTATAGCATTCCTCTGACAGGCCAGCAAAGCTTCCTTTAGTCCCTGAAGGCACTATGGCAAGATAGGATGGGTGGGAGCGGTCTTCTGAAAAAGCGTAAACAGGCAAATGAACCCTCGTGTGTTTCTGAATGGCACAAACCATAATACAGAATAGAATGGCCTCAGCAAAGCAGCTACTTTCCACTCAAAATAGGCTGTGGGAATCATCAAGGGAACACACATATAAAGGAAACACAAAAAGGAAGCTAGAAGAGCAAGACGGGAAACACGCATGCCCAGAAGCAGCTCAATAGTCCACTGCAGTTTGTTTGCAACACTGGGCAAAATTATGACTAAAGCCAAAGTCTTAAAAAAAGGAAAAAAAAAAAACCAACCAAAAAGGTATAAAAGCAGATAACAGTTGTGATTAACATAGAGAAATGAACATTTGCTAAAATGCCTTTGTGGATTTGACCACAGCTTGAACCTTGGAAGTGCAGTCACTGGAGAGAAGCACAAGCACAACATGGAATCTGAAAGCTGGAGAAGGGCAGGTATCATAAACCATACTCACCTCTAATGTCTGCATTAGTGTGGGCTTAATCGCATCTTTCATCAAAACTGCCAAAGCACCACTTACTCCCTAAGAAACAAGAAAGTCCACAGTTTAAGGAAGTCAGTTCTAAGGGGCAATATTTCTGAGTTACACTTTAGCTTACGCTTTAAACAGGGAAATATCCTTACAGTTAAAAGGAGGAAAAGAAAGTATGCTCATACACTGTGACAGACACGTAGCATTACAGTGTTGCATGAAGAATTTATTTAGATTTTAACTCAAGACTTCTAACACAGTATTTACAGAGTGTGCCAGAAATAGTAATGATTTTGCTTTGAATACACTTAAAAAGCAGTAGGTAAATACTCTTCCTATTTTACGGAGAGACCAAAAACAGAGTGATCAGCATAAGGATGTTCATGGGAACAAAAGATAAAGCAAAAGCAAAGGCCACTGAGCCCTGAGAAAGCAAGAAAGCAATAATGTGCTAAAACTCCCTAAAGAAATAACAGATGTATTTCTTTCATCACAGAATCAATAGCTAGCAACAACCAGAAAGGGTATTCTTCCAGACTTGTACAAATATATACGCAACAGACACAGGATGAAAGCAGACACAGAGTTTATTAAGGGTAGATAACAGACACATCATGAGATTAAAAGTCAGAGGTGCCTTACTGCAATAATGAGAGGACAAAAGGAGCTGTGTGAACGGCTGCATTTTAGTTGTTAGAAAAAAATCTTACTCCTCCCTAAAAAAAAAATGCTGGTTTTAAGTATTTAAAGTAAGAGAAAGTAATGTCATCCATCTACACTAAAATCCAGTGCCCATTTTAGAAAAGAATGGCTACAGTATGCACAGCACTATCGAACTACATGCAGAGTGCTATCTAGAAACCACAAGCATGTATTTAAATTTATTCCTAAATTGCTTTGATTTTGAGAAGAAAATGTGTTTTGATTTGAAAGAACTAGATCATGGACAGAAAAAAAAAGGACTACTATTATAACCAGTGGCTCATTTGATTGAACAGTCAAACACTGTGTGAAAATCAGAATGACAGATGAGAGACAAAAATAAGCAGTAAGTACAGTTTGTATTTTACACAAATTCAAGTTTCCACTTTCTAAGCAACACATCTGAACATAGACTTCAGAGTAAAATGAAGCAAAATATTTGGCTTCATAAAAAAATGGACTGAAACCAAAACTGTTTTCTACTAAAGCACAGCAAGTGTTTCCTTGGCATAGAGTGAAGGAAGGCAGAGAGAGGAGGGAAAGATGTTGCTTCGCTCATTGCTTTTTTTAAACCTCCATTATCTACAAGCCATGACAGACCCACAAAAAGGTAATAAGAGAAACTGGTAGCAAAACAGTATAGTTCTCCCTCTTCTGAATTAGTAAAGAATAAACTTGTTTCTCAATATTTTAGAAGTTAGGATCAAAACGTGAGAAAACTCCCGAGTGCTAGGCGTGCGTTGGGACGGCCGCGTCTCCACCACTTCCCTAGAAGCAGCCTCACGCTATGTTGCACCTACACGGAACTACTCCCATTTGAATCCAAAGCGGACAGTCTAAGTACAAGGAAAAGGAGAATAAGTTAAAAAGAAAAATGAAATTATTATTGCTTTTCGCTTCCACAGTCTCCTTTACAGCTATAGGTTGATTTAATTGGTAAGATTATAATCTACTTATTTTAGATAAAGTATTTAAAAATGCAAAACAAATCTCAATGATTTCATAAAAGTTAATTTAGCCAGCATAATATTTTCTGCTTTTAGAATAAAATGTAACTTCAATATTTTATCCATAAATGAGTTTTCTTTTTAGGACCATGGGAAAATAACAGCCACTGTTATTGCCTTTGATTTCTTGTAGTTCAGGAATTTCTGAGTCTTTCTAAAGCAGGTGTGTTTCTTAGGATATTAAATTTTAAATCTGTTCAATATAACAATTTGCTTTATAAAACTCATTTGATTCACTTTCAAACCTGAAGCACTTATAAAACAAAATAGTAAATACCCAAGCCCAGCTCTAACAACATAAAGTGAAATGGAACAAATTTCAATCCTAGCAATTTCTTCATTAAACCCTAGTTTTCAGTCCTACTAATTTATCAAAACAAACACATTCTTTTAACTGCTGATCATAGTGCAGAATGAATTCATTAAAAAAACACACCAGTCTGCAATATAGTTGCTGAATAGATCTATAAGCCTGTTTTGTTTTGGTTTTTTTCCTGCTGTTTTATCAATTCAGCAGTCAGCTGGGACAGAATTTCTCAGATCAGATGCAAAGTTCTTCCCCTTCCACCCCCAGCTGAAGGAAATTATGCTCATCATTACGTCATTGGTTGTTAGCATCACAGAATTATATCAGCTAGTAAAGTTGTTTATCTTCTGTCTCACAGAAAGGCAAACCATGTAATAATCAGGAGGCAACAGGTAATAGAAATATCTGAGGGAAAGGTTGATTAATTTTACTTTTTCTTCCTGTTTTCTCTGTTTGTCCATGATCATATAGCATAAGCTATTCATCATTATGCAAAGAGAAACTGCTGATGATAATTTTTGGCACATGAATGCTGAGATCTTACCACATAAAAGGCAATTGTAACAGCTATTCAACTTTCTGGAGAAAAAAAGCCAAATGAAAAATGTTGTGCCAGATCTTCCAACTGGTCAAAGGCAAGGTTAACTACCTGAGAAGCCATTGGTCACCCCTAATGCTCTTCTTGGGAAACCTGCCTAAGGACTGGCAAGGGTTAACTCATACCACCTGTAGCTGTCCAGTTAAGGGATTCTGTCTTCTACTTCATGCTGGACGAGACCACCAGGCCATTCAAACCAAACAGCTACTTGCTGACCCAAGCCATGTTTTCTGGAAAGAAGGCTTTGGGTGAGAAGAAAAACAAAATAAAATGAGGACACACCTCTCCTCCCCCTCCTAGGCAATAATACCTCCTTTGCTTTTTGATAGTTCTCCACCAGTCTGATAAAAGTAGTGAAGCAAAAAATACTTTCTATGAATTTTAAGTTTTTGGATACTTCAGCCATATTAGGTATGCATTCTGGCCACAATTCACTGTGTCTGACACTGAAAGCAAGGAAAAAAAGATGCAAAGACTCCAATTAGCACACATCAGGTCCATCTGCCTTCCACAGTTCTTTAACAGCTTTGGGGTCAACAACAGTCTTTAAAAGCTAAACAGCCAATAACATTTTCATATCTATCTGAGATGACTCTGTCAGAATAACTTTTTCATTCCTTCATACCCCCAGTCCTCCAAGCAGCTAGCATACAATTCAAACAGCTCAAAGTCCTGGATCTGATTCTCAAAGCTATTTAAGGAATTAGGTTACCACTTCTAATTCAGAGAAGGTAGTTAAATATTTTACAAAAGAATTAGAGACTTAGACATGAATTAAGCATGTGAGAGCCTAAGGATCATTAGCTTTCCACTAACTCACTGTCAGAAGAAAGAAGTAGGACTCCAACTTGCCTGGGTTCCCTCCTGGAATTGATCCCATGTATTTCTGAAAACGATACTCCTTCCATCTACCCACCAGCCGCCAGGACAGGTTTGCTCCCCAGGACAGTAAAGATCATAAAGCACAAAATAAACTACACACATGACACAGGAAAGAAAACTTAGATGAAAATCGAAAATACTTTCAAAGCAACTTCCAGTGGAGCAGTCTCTGAAGTCTATCAAGAGTGGAAATGAAAGCCAACATTAGATGACAAGGAATATGATTGAGAGCAACTACTGTGCAATGAATAAGACTGAAGGGCAAAGAAAAACCCTTTATAAGAAAAATAATGAAGTACTTGTAACTTCCCTTCATTTGAAACTGTAACCTCTAACAAAATGATAATACCAGTTCTGTAAAATACTCAGCCCTAAATCATATGCTGAGATGAACTGCAACTACTTGTGTTTAAAGCAGAGTATGTACACAATGTTTCTCATGAACCAGAGAACAAAATATATTCAGCTGACAGATCAGTTATAAAAGTAAATATAAAGCTATTTTTTTTGGTCCTGAAATTATTGAAATCTAACAGCATGAGACAGAAAGTAAGCTGAGAAGAAGTTTTATTTAAAAAAATAGTGACATATTTGTTTAAGGTTTTTCATAGCTGCTGAATTATTGATCCAGGGCATACATACCCATTTAATTTCACATAAAGATATGGCATGTGTCCATCAAAACTCCACTACATTGTAAAAGCTAAAAACCAATTCAGTCTTCAAAATACTGTACAATGAGCACCACATTTTGGCAAAGACCTCGGTATATTCCATTACAGAGGATAGATATTTAATCCATTACTCTTGTGGTAGGAGTCTTCTCAATTCATGAAATACTCAATTTATCTTTTTTCTATTACTTCTAGCTTGCCTCTGCATCTGGTTTATATCTGCTGATGTGTATTTTAGGTTTTACTAGTGTATTTTACATTTTACTATTGAATTATTATAAATATATTGCATATAAAGTCAAAATTAAGAGCGATTGTGTTTTTGTGAGGTATATTGTGTGACATCTGGAAATAAATCACAGAGAAGGGTTTAGTGGTTTTGGTTCACACAGGTTACAATGAGCTAAAGACTAGTGTCAAACATTCAAACTTGCATAAATTCAGTCTGAGTAGTACATAAAAAAATGAACCCTACAATTTTCTTCAGTGACCGGTAGGACCGACCAGCAGCCATTATTCAGGTTGTGTGGTACTTCCCATGATAAAGCTGACCTTAAAATTTGTTAAAACTATACGGAATTGCAGTTCTTTGGGCTTAAATGGTCCATATCAAGCAGCTATGATAGATTCAAGCGTTTAAACTTCATTTTGGTTTACGAAAATTTAAGTCAAAATGACTGAACTGTTCCTGGATGGAGAGCATGAGAAAACCATGCATATTGTTCTTCCTGCGTTCACTTGTCTTGCAATCTTTCCTTTCTAAGCTATAAAGCTTTACCTCCTCTGCGACCTTGATTTGAAAGAAGGATGAAAATTCAGGATGAGAACGGCTTCACATCAAACATCTTACCACGTTGAAAATTTGCTCAAAATACAGACCTTGGGAAAACAAAAATTACAGTTGACATACTCATTAGTGAATGCTTAGCTTTGCCCTATCCTGCCCAGAAAGCTTTAGCTGCGCAGTGCTTATAGCCGGGGGTGTAACAACTGTATCTACAACCTGTACCAGCTCTATGCCTAGACAGCTGGACCACAAGCAAAAGCTCAGGGTGGATCCTACAGGAATCCTCTTTTAACACATACCAGGAAGATATACATCCCATGCAGTCCAAATGAAGAGAAGTCAAAAGCTGGGCTTGCAGAAGAATAGTAACAACATAGGCAGCACAAACAGCAGGGGGAAGAGGAGACACTGCATTTGAAGTCTAGAAATGGTAGGTTTAGTTGCAAGATGTTCAAACAGACTGACCACTGGCAGGGAAAAAAAATGGGAACAGAGATGAAATGCCACCTGACAGAACTGAAATTTGTCTTCTTTGTATATATGAATTATGACATGATATGGTCTTTGATTATACATCTCCCGCTATTGTTTATGAAAGATTCAACTTTATACTGCACACTTTCACAAGTGCAGTATAAAGTTATTCACAAGCTCTCTCCCTTTATACAAATCAAGCAGTATTTAATTTGATAAAGAAATCTTAGTACGAAAATCCACTACTAGCTTCCTTTTTTGACATTTCTTAGATCCCAGCACCATGGCATCTGACTTCTTCATCAATATTAGTAAGTCTGCAGAAATGAACAATTGTTCTTGTTTTCAGAAGAGAAACAGGCACACATGAGGATCAAACTCAAAAGTATTCACCAACTTTGGATGCTCCAACCAAGATAATATAAAATAATTTCTCCTAGTTCAGAGTTCTTGATGGTGTTTCACTCTTTGCACAGATTTCAGCTGTCTCATGCTCCTGGGTATCAAACCAGACTGAGAAAGGTGTAACTCCTCATGCAGGTACTGTAAGAGTCCATTTGTATGGACACAGCATCACACATAAGCTTTGTGAAAAGCACAGGAATAGAATTCAACTCTCCAGAAAGGTACTTTTCTGCCTTAACCATGAAACGGCCTTCCTGCTCCTCCCACAGTTCTCATCCTCATTTGTAACACACTCCACAACAAAAGAAGCAGGAGTTTCTGCACTTCACAATCACGACATGCACTGAAGCCCTGCCTGTGCATGGTATGGAGAACCTGAGGAAGAAAAAGAATGCAGCAGCATAACTGCAGATGGTTACAATACACATCCTTGACATTGTGATGAACACTTTTTCTGGGCAGTAGAACACTGCTTTAAAGAAGAACTAGAAACATATGTTCAGTGCAAGTGAAACTATCAAATGATTGAGACGCTAAGCTAGAAGTTTGTTTAAAAATAAGGCCAAAGAAAAATTAATTAATAACAGAGATTTTGCTGAGAAGTACTTTCATTTTAGGGAGATAATGAAAAAAAATAAATTAGTTCTTCGTGTGCTGCTCATAATTTCAGCCCTAACATGTTATTTCCAAAGAGCAACTATAGATAAAACAGACTACAGAAAAGCAATTGCTCTCATTCATCAAGCTGATTAGCATTAAGTGGTCAAAGACAGGTTAAATACTTGGCAACATTAAGACACTGAAGTACTTTCATTCAAAAGTAGCATCAAGATTAAAATCATGTATTTCACAAGTAGTCTTAATTCTGACACTGAATTATTTTGAAGTTTTTGCATATGCATTAGAAGGTAACTCATTCCCTGCTCCTGTCCATTTGGCCAAAACAAAGTTATGCAATTGAAAAAGAAAATCAGAACTTCAAGAGCTAGAATATTAAATGCAGTTCTTTATGTCTCGTGCATAACTGGGAGTAGTTGACTTCCTTAGAATTTTAATGATGACTGTACTTAGAAATTTTGGTATGCTTATCTTAATTTCAATCTTAAATCCAGGCAAACAAGATAGTACGTTTTCATTTCCTTATTAATCTGGAATTCATTAGGGCTGAGAAGGTATCCCTGGCTTGTGGATTTGCTGTCTTTGCTGACAAGGCAGGATACTGGTTCCTTTGCTCATTTCAAAAAGGCTGTAAGCTTGCGCAGATGTCTACATAAAAGGGACAAACAGGAAAAAACACACATAGTCTGTGTGATACAGTCATTGCCAGCAGAGTGGCATGAAAGCACAACTCAAAGACATCACATTTGTTACAAGGACAGATTTAGATGACAAAAAAGCATAAAAGCAGAGCAGTATCACATTTATTGTATTTACAGTGTGCTGTCAATCTGCAGTATATGAACTTAATTTGGCAGTTAGGCTTCAAAAGTCAAGCAATGTAACATTACAGCAAACTAGTACCAATCACAGTGAGCCTACTCCTGGTATACAGCTGGATTGTAAGGGTTATCTGGTAGCTTCTGGCTGCACCACAGCCTGCCACACGCAAACGTGTGAACTTTCAGCTCCTGTTTACTGGTTCACTGCCTGGCTATACGGGCTAGAATTTCATATAAAGGAAGAACATAAGGACTTCTTTCAGAAGGTGAAGTAGGGAATGAGCAAACAGTAGCCAACTAATGAAGATAAGGAAGAAAAAGTCTTAATGATGTGAAGAGATAACCCTGTCTCATGAACTAAGAATAGCTTGTTTCTGTTCTGATTTAGTGGCACATGCATTCATGTGGTAACCATCATTTTAACGTCTGAGCACACTTTACAAGCACAGTAGCAAACATAACCAGCTCTCAAATAGGAACCCGCACTCTGGTTCCCTCCAGCACCAAATCTGTTTGCCTTAAGAATCGCAGATATGTAGCCAGGTAGGTTATGGAGACCAGACACTTCCTGAACCAGATGTTACCAGAGAGTTGGAGAATGACTTCTACATCTTGTTCTCATTGCAAGGAAGTTTTGGCCCAGAAGATGATCTTTCTTCGATATCTGACTGTGCTGTTCAAAGCAAAATCCTTGGCATGCCTCAGCCTTTTTCATGCTTCAAGAGGCAAAAGAAAAGCATCAGAGGTTACTCACAGGTCTACAGCGCACTGAACATACCAAATCTTCTGCTGTTACTGGTTCTCCTTTCTTGTCATTAGCCACCACCATTTTCCCCAGTCTCTCCTTCATATCTTGAAGGCTGGTAGTAAGTGCCAGGATGGCCATAATTTCACTTGCAACAGCAATATCAAACTGAGCCTGTAAAATAGAAAAGAGAATCATGAACCAAATCAAAGTTAGGTCAAACACTCACAGGGATTTATCAGGAATAGACTCAGAAAAGATGGATTTCACACTGGAATTCAAACAAGTTCTAAATTGTAGCCTACAGCTTTTGAGATTACTCAGACTAGAGTAACTTCAAACACTTTGTTTATATTCCTTCGTTAACATTCTCCATTACACCTCATTTACTTGGGGACCAGTCTTGCAGAGTGCTTAGCCCCATGGCTCATATTATCCTTAGCAGAAGCTCCCTGAGGACCAAGATTTTTTTTTTTCTGTGGCAAAAAAGAAAATCACCAGATGTGTTTTGAGCTTTGCTGGCACGAGCACAACGTTGTGGAGCTGTGGGGTTTTTTCTGTAATGCTTTCCAAAAGTTTTTATTCTAGTTTCAGAAACATTCTTGTTACATCTGATCATCCTTCTTTTACATAAACTCACAATTTAGAGTCTATGCTGCTAGGTCTTGTGCTTGACCTATGATGATGTAAAATACATCTTTGTCTCCCTTTGTAAAAGAAAAATTAACAAATACGTGAGTTTAAAAAACCCCAACAATGACGCATGGCATCAGTTCTACTGCTCTTGTCGAAAAACATCCATAGTGTGCAGTGCTTCAGCACAACATAAGCTGTGGTCCTTTCTTTTCTTTAATAGCTTGCAGTGTACATTAGCAGTATTTGTACTAATTTACTAACAGTAAAGCCCAGGCCACACACTGTCAGATGTAAACAGAGAAGAAAGGCAAATGTATTATGTGATAGGAATGCAATGTTGGGGGTGAAAAAAACCTGCAGTTTCTTTTGTAATGTCTCCATCTCCAGCAATTAAAGCCTACTGAAAGAAAAAAAAAAAAGGCAATTGACATCCTACTGTTACCTATGTAAAAAAAGCTGCAGGCTTCTATCCGATGTAACCCATGCTGACAAACAGCAGAGGAATCTGTTCAAATTGAGGACTTTGCCTGTTTTTAAGAAGCATCTACACAGAGAATTGTTCAACATCTACCTTAGCAATCCTATCCATTTGCTTACTACTTTAATAGCTTCTGCCCTTTTTTAAAATATGTACCTGCTTTTAGATTCTGTTCAGAGCTGACTTCTATATAATTGCATGTTTAGTCAAAACTTCTGAAGACACCTGAGCACCTTTCTCCATTGAGCACAGACAGGGAGAGATACATACCATGGAATACAAGAAATAATCCCGTAAATGAGATTTTCATCATAGGGATTCCAATGAAATGCTAGAGTTACAGAGCATTCCCTGGAAGCAGTTCCATATATAACAAAATAGATGAGTGCACAACAAACATTATTAATGTTGCAATGACATGGATGCTACAAACTTTACTGAAGTTTAGAATGCCCCCAGTAAGTCATTGCAGCACATGTAAAACAGGAAAACTGCAAAATCCATGCCCAACCCATACACTGGAATATTATCTAACTTTTTCAGAATGTTTATCACAAGACCCAAAAAGAAGCTTTTATTAACATTGCTTCTATGTAAACTCAAAAGGACAGGAAAAACAATCCCAGGTAGATGCTCAAAGAGTGACATAATATTTAACTGGAAAAAACAGGCAAAAAGACCGTGGTAGCAGGTGCTACTTTAATTCTAATAACTTTTATACGCCTATGAAGTGCTGACAGAAGCCTTAGCTGTAAAGTCAGTTCTCTATTGATGAAAGGATCCACCCACATGGATTCAATTGCAGGATCAAGGGCATCAGTCATGTAATACTCTTTGGAAACCACAGCATCCCTGTTCATTAAAATGCAGACTTTTGTGCCTGCTGTGCTCTGCCATTTTACACAGGTGTCATTGATTTTAAGAGTGCTAGAACATCACTCCAAATATTTATAAAATGCATCTGTTATCTATGAAGTCCTGTTTTCTCTGGATCTCTGGCTAGGCTCTCAAATGAATTTTCCTAACTGTTTGCTCTATTTCTCAAGTCACTAAGTCCACGTTAAAATGTGAACGGATACGCATCTGTCCAACATACCGAAATTGAAAGCATCAAGGCTGTTATAGCCAAAACAGTACAGAAGCAACATTTGACAGTCATATGTCAACTAGCACTCTGTAATAAAACAACCCACATTTAACTCAGCAGTACAACTAAGGTGGTAAAATGTTGTACAATAAGGCCAGCAGAACTTGGCTCAAAGCTAATAATCATACAGAGTCATTGAAACAAATCTAAACACAGGAATGTATCTCAAGTGTTGAAGGAACTTGTACCAAGTACAATATTTTGTAGTCCAAGCCCATTATCAGAGATGAGTATGAGCCAATATTGAGTTTTCTGTAAGTCATAGACAGGAAAGTCTCTACCCTGTGTGTCCAAAACCAAAACAAGTGAGCATTTCTAGTGAGAGGTGTCCCTGCCCATGGCAGAGGGGTTGGAACTAGATGATCTTTAGGGTCCCCTCCAACCCAAACCTTTCTACGATTCTGTAATTTCTCTTTCAAATTCTCTCCAGTTTGCTGGTTTACCTGCTGGATTGAGCAAAAATATTAGCACTATTTTTTGTCTCTTTATTTAGGCACAAAGCCTAGATGAGGTCTGAAATGATGAAGTAATATTAAAGATAGGCTTTCCAAAGTGAATGTAAGCCTTATCTCTGTCACAACAGGTCTTCACCTCATAATGGTTACAACCTCATGAATTTCATGATCCATAGTGCGAGATTACAAGATCTTCACTGAATTAGGAGCAACTCCACATCATCATAATGAGTTTGTCCTACTTGGTACCGCTGCTCCATACGGCATTGTTTCAGAAATGGATTTACCCACATGACACCAGGAACAGTTGTTCAGATAGTGTTGGGAAAGTCTGACTTGGAAAAGTTAGTCTTGGAAAGTCTGACTTGGGAAAGTCTGTCCCTTCAAGCCAACAAATTAAAATTAAGCACATGCTCAAACTTCTTACAGTTTAGATCCCAAAGCTGAGAAGCATGACAGGGAAATGAAAAACTCTGAATAAAAAGCTAATGGTCATTTCCAGTCCTCAACTATGGGACCAAAAACACACAACCCATCCCTCCCCCCAGTTTTGTAACATTAAATTTAAATGTAATTCAAATTATATAAATACCACAGAAATAGCTTGAGGTACTTAAAAAAAGTAAGAAAAATATACAAATCAACCTTATGAGGGCATAAGGGCACCTTTTATAGGATGACAATGTTGAGCACATACAATTTTTTCAAGTGCTTTCAACACACTGTAGAATATGTATCAGTTTTCATCTCTGAAACTTTGGACTTGGTTACTCACTAACAAAATGAGTTTCACTCTAGGAATACTATACACCAGCAGCAGATACTAGCATTTCAATTCAAAGAAGTATGCTGAAAGAACTGCAGAAACATCTCTCAGCCTCTAAGGCAAAGTCTGTCCAGAATGTGGTATATTAACTGCCTTTACATACCTGACGGACAAATCCTTTTTCTGTATTTGCCTGCCCAACTGTTATTTTGCGCAGGAATCGGTCATTTGTATCCACCACTGAAATAAGGAAACAGTAAGAGGAAACCATGTTAACATGGACTTGGGGATCTGTGTTTTTCTGTTGTTGTACACAAGATGCAGCTGCTTGAACAGTGTAACCAGCCAGCCACACACCTGAGTGCATTAGCACTGACTTGATTTCTGCCTTCTAGTTGATGCCATTAGAGGATAGGTTGAAATAATGAAATTTCTCTGAACAGTATTTGAAGCTAACAGAATCTCAATATTCTAACACAAAAATTAATATCTTACCTACACAAGAAAAATCTGTCTTAGCAGATACAATGCATCTCATATCTACTTCAAATCATTTGCTTCATCATTAGCTTGTTAAGAATTTTTTTTAAGATTGCATGTTGTAGGTTAAACTTGGTCTGTTACTCTTTAAAAGAATGATTATGTTGTCAGATTGGTTCTTCCAGACAAGTCACTTTATTGCATATCACAGTAATTAACTCCACATTCAGCTGCACGGCATTCAAAGATGTTTTTTTCCAACTGTCAAGATCAACCAGCTGCTACTTAACTTCAAACAACTGTATTTCTAATCTAGGAACACTTACGGTACTGCAAGGGCATGTCTAAACCATCCTCTGGAATTGCTAGCTTCACTAACAATCATGGTAAGCCAAGTTCTCCAATTCTGTGCTACAAACATGGATTTGTATGAACCAAAAGGAAGGACTGAGAAGTATCGAAGAGCTCTCTCATCTGCTGGCAACCGATCAAGACGCTTCTTAGGAAGAAACATCAGTAGGATGTTTCCATTTGTTAGAAAAAGAAACTGAACTCCAAGACTTCTCCTTCACAGGAACAGCAATGCCTACAGAATGCGAAAAGAGGCGCCCTCTTTCTCATGGGCTCTTTAACCCTACAAATGGTTCAGTTTGCATGAATCCTTAAAGAAAGGGTGGGAGGTACTCTTGGTCAGTTCAGCCTGTACCGTGGCAATCATGTCAATCTTGTGGTATATGTAGGTTTGAGCCCTGCTCTTATAGAAGCAGATAATCAAGGAACCTGCAGAGAAGTTGTCTGTGCTGAAGGTCAGAGAAATTACCCCCTCCCACTTTGTCTGCTGCTTTTGGAGACTAACAAAATTGTCTATACACAAAAGGACAACATAACTACCCAAGAACAAGAAGGACTTTGAATTGTTTTGAATTGAGTGAGCTGGGAGAAAAACAAGGTTTAAGCTACTTCCCCCTTCTGGGCATTTCTCATGGAGCTGTTGTAAATACCATACGTGCCTTCTTCCCCCTACATGGTATTTAGGCCCCTAATTTCTTCAGGAATTCCATTTAAGGGATGGTGTAATACAGATTTAGCTAACTCATTTTGGTTTCTATTTATATACAGTGATATTCCAAAATACTACAGTACTGGCAGAAAGTGCAGAACAGAGCCCGGTACGTGGAAGTGGCAGCCTCGCACCAAGCTGTGGCACCATATGCTGCCATGAAGCCATATGGCAAGCTGATCTTCTCAAGCACAAACTTACCCTTTCTCTTCCTGGGAAGTTCAGCCTCATGAGCAGACTTAAGCACACCTAAATATCTTTCCTGCCAAGTCAAGCACTGATGAGAGTAGGAACTAGCCTTCCCACCAGTTTGGACAGCCAGTGGGCTGCTTTTTATCTGGTTCTTCCCAGTGAGATCTTGCAATCTGAACAGCCTGACCCACCCTTTCTCATCACTGGCATACACCGTCTTTCTCATCACAGTCAGAATTAATTCTCTAGGAAGACTCCAATAGCTACACTTAGAAATAGTCCAATAAGAAATAATTGGTTTTGCGACAAAAGCAATTTTTCCTTCTCCAAATTTTCCCTTTTCCTTACCCAAAGTAAACATTCCAGGAAAGTTTAGGTTCAACCAAGTGTTAGGTTTAATGTATCTACTTCCTTAACTGCTAGAGATATAAATAGGATCTGAATACCAGAGGAAGAGTAAGTAGGTGGAAGCTTTCCTTCTTTTCAGCATGCTGTACCTGGTTCAAGTTAGTACACAATGACAATGAAGTCTGAGCTTGTGACACTTCTAAGGAAACATATCCTGACTGAAATTAATTTTAAGAACATCTGATAGCTTTCTCTTCTGCCCCACAAATTCCCTGGTTTGTAACAAGCTTCACAGACATATGGATTGCAGAAACAGTCCCAAATAGAACATTTTCCAAGTTATCTAAAAGATTCCTAATAACTCAAAATGTTTAAGATATGTACATCATACAGAGTTGTGTGGAATAGAAAGTTCACTAACATCGTTTGAGATGAATTAAATAACTCACTTGAGGTTAACAGCTGTTGAGTAATGCTGCCTCCTCCGAAGCCCGTGCTGATAAAAAGGATGGGTCATATTACACTAAATATTTATATTACTTCTTCATCCTAATACAGGTCTCTTACAGACACGCTCTGTGACTAATAAAAAACATCTTATGCCACATGACTCAGTATTACCTGGAGAAAAATGTCCCAATCTGAGATGACATGCACACAAAGGTCATAGTAAACAATGGCCAAAACTCCTCACTTCTCAAAAGATTCATCCGATTTACCTGAGCATCACACTACATTCTATTTAACAACAACTTTGAACTAATAACTTCTGTGTTTGAGAACTTGGGAAGAAAATAAAATCCAGTGGAATAGAGCTCAAAAACTTTACGCAGAGTTTACTTGCTTAAAAAAGAGAGATACAGAAGTTGAAGTAAACACTGAAATTTAACCCAGCACTAGGACTGGAAAATGCAGAGTAGAGTTGTCTAAGGGCGTGAGAGTAGATATTGGTTTGCTTGGCATACATAGCTGAAATTGTACATCTTGGACATCTTCTTCCTAACAAAGCAAACAGCAATGAACACTTCAAAAATATGAAAAACACATAACCCCTGAGGCCTGTTTAGTCTCTGAGCTATCCAGACTCCTGAGCTGGGGAGGACCAAAATCAGGTAGAATAAGTCCAAATCTAAACTCATAATAGATATGGTTAAGAAAAGAATGGAAAAGATTTGTAAAATCCACAGAAAAAACACTTTCACATGTTTTAAGATGTACTAATGTGAGAGAGATAAGGGATGTACTTAAACTGTCAGAGCAACCTATCTTTCAGAATATCAGTAAAGTTCTTGGGTTACTGCAGATACTCGGCCAAGTTTAGAGCAACACACTGCACCCAAATTTGTTATGTACCCACATTTTTACAAATGGCTTGTTCTTACAGAGAGTAAAAACAGCCCTGATTCAGGTAAAAATAAGCAAATTGTGATTGTGACTAAATCTAACCTGAAGTGAGGCCTTCTGACTACATACCTCTTTGCCATGTTATGGTAGATGGGTCAATATCAAGGCGTGCAAATTTGCTGATCTCCTCTTCTGTTAGAGTCCCAGGATCAGTCTTGTTTATTCCCAGCCTCTATGCAAAAAAAAGAGTTAAAGAATCGAAATGAAGTGGCTTTTTTGCTTCAAAAGGTATAGCTGCTCTGATTTATCACCCCCATTTTCAATAAGGATTTTGGAAGGAAGCACGTCAGGACCAAAACTTTTAAAAAACCCTCCCAAAAAAGCACTTCAGAAATCACCTGTTACTAAAATAGGGGCATATATAGATTATGAAATGAAACAAAAAAGAAGAAATATTCATAGGCCAATAAATCAACAATCTCTTTCTTACACAGAAGAAACTCTTACTGTAAACCAAGAAAAAATTCAACATTATCAGTTACTAATAAAAAGACAATTATTTGCTTGCTCTGGTTTGCAGAAATCTTCAAAAGGCCCATGTGTTGTCTCGTGTGAAACATCTCTGAATGAAATAAAAAAATATGCTTTAAGAGCCTATCATCTATAAACTCAGTCACTTATAATGAATGAGACATTACCTCCCGGCTGTTACAGATTTATTATTTCAGCAACACTAAACCTTTTTTTTTTTAGCGAATCTACATAAAGATTGATCAGAAAACTGTGGTTAAGAACTGTAATCTTAAAGAAGAGAACAACCCATGACCCAAAACTTAATTTTCTCTGGCATTAGAAAGCATTCCTCAGCAAATTAACCAACATGTTTACACTTCAGAACTAAAAAATAAAGCAAAAATAAAAGTATAAAAATAACTCAAAAGAGCTACCACAGTTACTTCCCTATTTAAACCAACAGTTATTTCTAGAAAGCTGGGGACATCCTTTTGAGAGTATTAAAACCCTTTCTGTGAGGTTCCTTTCTGAAAATTGGTCTGTCAAACTGTGAGGGATGTTTTCAAATTGGGGCATTTCCCACTGTACTAAGAAGGGCAAAAAGCTGTCGTGAACAGCTTGCAAGTTTTGACACCTGGTACCCAAAGACTTTCTGCACGCCAGAGGAATAAGCTGAGGAGTAGGGGAATAAGAAAGGTAGTTCCTGATGTTAGATAAGGAAAAAAATTTTGCATGGGACCTTTGGTAATTACAAACCCAAACTGCACATGTAAGGGAGAAGTTTCATTCTTAATAGTCATGTTCTGAAAAAAATGTAACCCTGTATGTCCTGGTTTCAGCTGAGACAGAGTTAATTTTCTTGCCAGTGGCTGGTACAGCGCTGTGTTTTGGGTTTAGTACGAGAACAATGTTGATAACACACTGACGTTTTCAGTTGTTGCTAAGTCCTGTTTTTACGAAGTCATGGATTTTTCAGCTTCTCATGCACTGCCAGCGAGAAGGCTGGAGAGGCACGGAAAGCTGGGAAGGGACAGAACAAGGACAGCTGAGCCAAACTGTCCAGAGGGATATTCAATGCCATATGACGTCATGCCCAGCATACAGCCTGGGGGAGGAGGTCACGAGGGGCAGATCGCTGCTTAGGGACTGGCTGAGCATCGGTCAGTGGGTGTGAGCAATTGCATTGTGCATCACTTGTATTTACTGGTTATGATTTCACTCTCTTTGTGTCTTCCTTTTCATTACAATTATCATTGCTATTATTATTGCTATTATTATTACTATTACTATTGTATTTAATTTTTATTTCAATTATTAAACTGTTCTTATCTTAAGCTTCTTCAATTCTCCTCCCCACTCTACCA